CAATATCCTAAGTATTCGGGGGGAACAACTGTTCCATGTCGAACGGAAGCTTTGAAGGGGTTGTAGGTCGAATGGGGCCAGCCTTGGCTCGTCGTCCATGACATCCCGAATGGCCCCCTCAAATCCCATCCCCTTTTTGTCCAAGGCTACCGCCACTGGCCCATCATCATCATTCTGTGGCCGCTTCCCAGCAACATAGTCCTCAGCTCCTTCAGCCGCACCCTTCAGCCCTTGGCTTGCCTCTCTTCGGCCCTTCTAACCCTGAGAGCCTTATCCTTCTCTTTCATCTCCCTGAGGCACTGTTGCTTCTTCTCCTCACTTATCTTCACCACCTGCGGTGATTCTGCCACTGTCACTTATCTTCACCACCTGCGGTGCTTCTGCCACTGTCATCCCTCCCTTAACAATTCCCGTCATTGCCATTAACACAAACAAGGAGTTAGTCAAACAACATGCATAGACACACACACACACACAAAAAGCCATCGAAGAAAACACAACATACTTCCTTATAGCAACCCTATTTCAAGCAAGTGCGCTGACGTCACCAAATTCTTATATTCCTGCCTCTCTACCGAAAGCAATGACCCTACCTTCTCCACCTCGTTCTCCTTCTCCTTCTCGAAAGAATTGCACTTCACCAAACCTACACAAAACAAGAATACGATTAGTTCACTGTTGTTAATAATATGTTAACTCGCAATTGTACGGGGCAATTAGTAGTATAGCAAGACAAGTACGAGGTCGTACCCACGAAGACTGAGAAGTTCAAATTAGTTATGTACTTTAGATTACCGAATTCAAGAAGTTAGGAAGTTAAATCTATTTAAAGCAAGAGTGAGTTTGAAAACAAATGCAGCAAGATTAAAATAAGCATTCGGAACCCATTAAGCATAAAAGAACATTTTAAACAACCAAGTATGTATCTAATCCCTGTTGTCGAATGTTCATACATACTCTTCCTATTCATAGTTCAATTCAATTCGAATTAAAGCATGGTGTGTACTCTTAATTCAAACCAAGATAGTTAACAAACGAGTTCTAATGGTGATCAATCATTCAAACAAGCATGTTAACTTATAAGTATAATGAATAAGAACATGAATCATGAATCAAGCTTGAAACTCCAAACTTATAAACCCAGAATATTCATGTTAGGTTACATCGAAGCCCTAGTTATGGATTTAGCTACTCATAATGGAAAAGAGACTTGAACAGAAATGAGAAAACATAATGAATGCAATAAGAGTAGAAAAACCCTTTTTCTGAAGTTCTTGTGGTGTCCAAGGCTTCTCCAAGTGCTTCTCCACTTCTAATGCTTCTCCAAGAGCTTCCCCACTTCTAGAAAGATGTATGAAGGATATGGAGGTGATTTGGGATGAGTTTGAGTGAGTGGTGATGGCTAAGGAAGATGAAATTCGTAGGGAAATGGAAGAGAGGTTTGCTGGAGTTGTTTTGGTGATTGTTGGAGTGTTTGGGATTTTGAGAGTGTTTGAGGATGGTTGGAGTGAATTGAAGAAAATAAGTATGGATGAGAAATAGAACACTTTAAACCCTCTCAAGAAAGCAATTAGGCCCGATATAGCTCACTAGGGTAGTCTCCACTATTTTCCTTCAAGAATTTGAGCGTGGTACTTTAGCCACCAGAATTCTAAGAGCAAAAGCTTTGTGAAGTGCAAAATTCTGATATGAAAACCTCAAATAGCAGCTCCATAGCATTGATTGTATGACATTCTTAAATAAATAAATAAATAAATAAATAAAATAAAAAAATAGTGACAAGAGAACGAAAATTGAAAACACAAATGGATAAGAAAATTGAAATTGAAAACCTTCATGACCAAGCATCCAACCAGCTCATCCTGAGGTCAGCATGACCAGCAACTTCAAGGGCTTACAACTTGGGCTTCTCTTAATCCAATTAGGACTTTAAGCACTCGAAATTGAAGTTCGGAATGTGTTCTTTCCAGCCATATGTCATTTGGGCCAATCCAAGGTCAGAGAAGGAAGTTAAAGCCAAAACAAATTGCTAACTCATTTTGCGCGCTGATAAAATCCATCCTGAGCATGGCTCTGTGTTTGCTAGGTAACAGACTTCATATTTATCCAATGGGGCTGAATTTTGGATATGTTATAGTACACACCCATTGGAACAACTTTCATGAAGAATGCGGCCTCATCCGAGCTGTGTAGGTTACTGAAACAAATCTAGCAATGTGACCCACGAAACTGGACTGGCAAGGGGCTGTAGGAAAAATGAGTTTGTCTTTAAGCTCTTCTTCCATTCATCCAAATTAGGCCTTAACATGCTTGAATT